TTTGAGATGGGTCTCTCTGTTCAGCCCTGGTTTGCCTAGCACTCACCGAGCTGGCCTTGAACTCACAGAGCTCCACCTGCCTCTGCCTCCCAAGGGCAAATTTTATCATGAAGATAAATAGTAGAGTAGAGTAGAACAGAGACTTACTCAATGGTCATTTACCTTTCGGAGAAGAGGCAGAGACAGGGTCACACTACGTCGCCCAGGCTATCTGTGGATTTGTGGCAGTCCGCAGTCCCCAAGTGCTGGGATTACAAGCATGAGCCAACACGGAAGTTTTATTTAATTTCTGTGACAAAGATGTTAGCACAGAAAGGAAAGTCTTTTCAGGAAGTAGTAGTGGGGCTGGGAGGGGGCTCAAGAGGGTCAGGGTTCCAAACGTGACAACCTGGGTGGACGGATGTCCTCTGACTTCCACATGGGTGCTGTGGTGTACTCGGACCCACACACACTATAGATATTGATATATATCGAGAGATATCATAAATGATGGATATGATAATTGTTTACATGTTCTCCTTCTTCCTATCGAGCATTTATCCGCAAAAGGGATGATATTTGTAACGTTGAAGGCATCCTACACTCAATAGTAAAAATGACAATGGGGGGGGGAGAAGGCAAGTAGGTATTTCACAAAGGGAGTCATAAATAACCAGTAAAAATACCAACACCTCAGTTACCAGCAAATACAAATTAAATCACAGTGAGGTACCACTGCATACCCCTCCCCAAAACATTTAGTGTAAAAGTCTGACAACGCTAAGCCTTGTCAGGAACACTGAACAGCACTGATTCTTGTCCAGACAAGGTAGCACACACCTGTCATCCCACTACTGAGGCAAGAAGGTCAGGAAATTGACACCTGTCTAGGCTATACACCAAGACTGTCCTAGACAAACAAAAAATATACCAAAATAAGTAATTGTCCTATATCATGGGTAGGAGTCTAAAATTATATAACCACTATGATGAAATAAAAGCCAAAAAGTTTCTATGGGGCTAAGTGTGTGTGTGTGTGTGTGTGTGTGTGTGTGTGTGTGTGTGTGTGTGTGCATGAAAAATGATGCAATCTCAGCCCTACATAATTACCCAAGAGAAATGAAAGCCTATGCCCACCAAAACTACTATGAGCCACACACCTATAACCCCAGCACTCAGAGGCTGAAACAGGAAGCTCTCCACAAGTCTGAGGGCAGCCTAGGGTATATAGTTCTAGGCCAGCCTGGGCTACAGGATAAGACCCTGTCCAAAAAAGAAGGTGACGATGATGATGATCGTGGTTCACAGGCAGATATTCATGTACAATCGTTTCAACTTCTCTATAAGTTTGAATAATTTGAAAGTGAACTGTTGATGGGGGGGGGCAATGAATATCAGACCTGTCCAAATGTGCTCACATCAACACTATTAGTACTCATCCCCAGATGGAAACAACTTAAACGTCCATCAACAGCTGGAGTGATCAACTGATAATGTTGGAGGCATAATGGGAGACTTCACAACAGTAAGAATGAAAGATATATGATTGTGTGCAAGAGCAGGGATCCATTTACGTAAGATCCCAAAAGGCAAAGTTAGTCCATGTCGAGTCGGGGCTAGCCTTGGGCAGGGCAGTGCTGAAGAGAAGGGTCCTAAGAGGCTTTGTGAGGCATTTCCACTCTCGATTGACGGGCATAATGTGTCCTGTGTGCAAAACTGTACATGATGCGCTTCCCATTTTCCACTGTATACATCCCTCAAAAGTTTTCAAAAACCAATGGTAGCCCTCACCGGCTCTTCAAACAGGTTCTTCAGCCCCACCCCCAAGGAATACCTTGCCAGCCATCTTTTCCCATCTCTCCTCTCCCAATTCCCAGGCTCTGACATGCCTGTCTCCCTCACCTGCCAGAGAAAAACTCAGAGCACAGGAATTCCATCTCCAACCTCTGCTCCAGTCTAGGCTTCAGGATGGATCCAAGTAGAAACGACTCATTAAGACCAAAGGCGTCAGCCATCCCCAAGACATAGTCCTTCGCTCCCTCAGAACAACAAAATTCTGCGGGCAGTTTTTTGAGAGTAAAATCTGTCCTCCCTTTCCGTAGAGGCCTGTGTCCTCTCTTTCTACCACCCTCGGCTCTCCTGTCCTCCCTTGTAAAGTGGTACAGCAGCTTAATCTCCTCACAGAATCTAATGCTGACATTGTTCTGGAGTTTCAACCCAGGGCCAGCACTCGTCCCCTGGCTGATGAGTCAACCCTCAGATCCCAGTAAAGGTGGTGATGAGAGGCAGAATTCTGGATACAGAATAGAACACAGAACTCCTTACACAGGTTCTGCCCTCCCCAAGTCACTGGTGAGGAAGTCCAGGTGAATATACTTTTAGACTAAGTAAAAGAGCTTTTTTTTTTTTTTTTAGCTTTCCAAGACACGGTACCATGTAGTCTGAGCTGACCTCAAATTTACCATGTAGCAAAGGATAACCTCAAACTCCTGGTTCTCCTGCTTCCCAAGTACTGGGGTCACCACATCCAGCAAAATTGATTCAAAGGTTATTTGATGACCTATTTTCTTTGTTGTTGTTTTCGGAACTATCTCACTATGTAGCCTAGGCTCATCCCATACTGTCAGTGATCCTTCTGCCTCAGGCTTCTGAGCACTGGGATTACAGTCATCTACCATCACACTTGGGTAAGGAAGCATTTGTTTTCATGTGGCAGTTTACGGTTCAGCCCTTTTGTTACTCAACCGGTCAGAAGCTTTTGCCACAAGTGGTCTGTCTCTCCTCCCTGAGCTGCTTCCGGGCTTCACCTCATCTCCCTTGTGGGCCTTTCTGCTGACTCCTTGTCTCCTACATGTGGACTGCTCCAGGGCACAGTGCTCAGACCTCTTTCCTTAAACTGTTTTTCCTGATGATTTCTCACTTGTATTATTAACATCCCCAACCTGGTCTCCTTCAGGCTATTCTCAAAGCTGTAGTCAGAGGGACACTGTAAGAAACAAGTCTTGTTGGGTGGTAATGGCGCACGCCTTTAATTCCAACACTTGGAAGGCAGAGGCAGGCAGATCTCTGTGAGTGCAAGGGCAGCCTGGTCTACAGGCTAGTTCCAGGACAGCCAGGGCTACCCAGAGAAACCCTATCTTGAAAATAACAATAACAAAACAAAACAAAACAAACCCAATCTTGTCTAATGTGGTGTCAATCCCAATACTTGGTGTTAATCCCAATACTTGGTGAGTTTGATGCCAGCCTGGTCTACATAGCAAATTCTAGGCTAGCCAGGACTATAGTGAGAGCCTGTCTTTAAAAAAACAAACAAACAACCCCTCCCCCAAACAAAAAACAAATAAAGCTTCTTGTTTTTGTTTGGAGACAAGATCTCCCTTTGTAGCTCTGGCTGTCCTGCAGCTCGCTCTGGAGATCCACCTGCCTCTGTCTCCTGGGGACTAGGACTAAAGGAGGTGACACCACTCCGGTACAACTCTGCTGGGACTCAACACCTCCAGGGGCTCCCCCTTTCCACTCAGAATGACCCCAACTCCTGGTGCTGGGCCCTTGGCTGAGTCCAGCCCCTCCCTCCTCTTTCAGCTCACCACTCTCTTGTTCTCTCTTGTTCTATCAAACTATCCGAGCCCCTCGACCATTCCTGAACACACACCCGGCATCCAAGGCTTCACAGTCGTCTTTCCCTCTGTCATGAATGCCCCTCCCTCCACATGACTCACTTATCGCCCTTACATCCATCAGTCTGCTATCCCCTAGGAAAGCCTGCTCTAGCCACTCCGCCTAAAACTCTACCCTTTCTCCAACATTCCCTAAGTCTCTTCTCTCTGTCTCTTCTTCCTTCCTCTTCCTCAAGACAGGGTCTTGTTGAACTCCATCCAGACCCTCCTGCCTCAGCTTCCTGAGTGCTGAGATTACAGGCATGCACCATTATGCCTGGCTCATGTAGTTTGGAGATAGAAGACAGGGTCTCATTCTTACCAGGCAAGTGCTCTACCAACTGGTTGACGGCCCCTCTGCCTCCTCTCATCCAATCTGCTTTTCGTTTGTTGGTTTGCTTGTTTGGTTTTTTTTTCTTTTAAATATTTATTTATTTATTATGTATACGGAAGAGGGCGCCAGATCTCATTACAGGTGGTTGTGAGCCACCATGTGGGTGCTGGGAATTGAACTCAGGACCTCTGGAAGAGCAGTCGGTGCTCTTAACCTCTGAGCCATCTCTCCAGCCCCGCTTGTTTGGTTTTTTGTTTTTATTTTTTCAAGACAGGGTTTCTCTGTGTAACCCTGGCTGTCCTGGAACTCCCTCTGTAGACCAGGCTGGCCTCGAACTCAGAGATCCTCCTGCCTCTGCCTCTTGAGTACTGGGATTAAAGGCGTGCGCCACCATCACCCAGCTACCCAATGTGCTTTATGTGTGTTTTCTACACCCACTGTAAAGTCCACGGAGGCAAGGATCTGTGCTTGTTTTGTTCACTGCCAAGTCTACAACAGTCTGATACAGATAGGGATCAACATGTCTTGGAGCAAGTATGGATGCTTATTTGGAATGGCTTTGTTAGTACCAATAGACAAGAAGACGTAAGTTAGATAAGGAAGCCTCCAAGAGGGCTACAGACAGCTGGGAGGAAGCAGGATTTTCTCCATCCTTAGAGCATGAGGAATCCTTGGAAAGGTAAGAGAGACCTGCTAAAATAATGATTAAGAACATGAGATAGGGGCTAGAGAGATGGCTCAGCGGTTAAGAGCACTTGATTGCTCTTCCAGAGGTCCTGAGTTCAATTCCCAGCACCCACATGGTGGCTCCCAGCCATCTGTAATGGGATCCGATTCCTCCTGGTGTGCATGAAGACAGGGCACTCACATACATGAATAAGTAAATCTTTCTTTAAAAAAAGGAACACGAGGTAGGAAGCCCTCCTGCATTCCAGCTATGGAGATGCCACTCTGTTCTGGTCCTCAGCTTCTGTACCTGGGAAACAGACAACCAGAACAGCTACCCCAGAGGCTTCTTTACTTGCTAGTGAAAAACCAGAGGGCTGAGGATACAGCATGAAGGCCTGGGTTCACGTCTCAGTGCCCCATAAAAGCTACATGGTGGCATATACCTGTGACCTCAGGATTGGGAGGTAGGTGAGGGATGGAAGTGGAGGGATCTGAGGAGCAGAAGTTCAAGGTCATCTGTGGCTAAAGCTGAATGCTGAGTTCAAGGCCAGCTGGAGGTATGCATGACCCTATCTAAAAAAAAAAAAAAGGTGATGAGAAGGGGGCAGGAGAGATGCTCAGCAGTTAAGAGCGTGCGCTGCTTTTGCAGAGGGCGCCCGTTCAGTTTCCGGCACCCATGTCAGGTGGCCTGTAACTCCAGCTCCAGGGGTTCCGACACCTTTTTCTGGAGGCACCTGCACTCATGTGCATGTACACACACACACACACACACACACACACACACACACACACACACACACGTTGCCAGAAAGTTTCTTCCGTCCCACCCAGCCCTGTGGTCCCTCAGTCGCTTATAAAACAATCATTCAGAGGCTTAATATTAATTATCAAGTGTATGGCCGGTGGCAGGCCTCTTGGTAGCTAGTTATAACTCAACCCATAACTATTAATCTATGTATCACCATGTGTTCTGTGGCTTTACCTGTATCCCATTGCATGTTGTTCCTAGGATGGCAGACTGCCTTCTCCCTCACTCCGCCTTTCTCTTTCCTGTCTCTCTGCCTGGATTTCCTACCTGTCTCTCTGCTGCCTTGCCATAGGCCAAAGCAGCTTATTTATTAACCAATGCGAACAACATATATTCACAGCACTTCCCCTTTTCTAAATCAAAAAGGAAGGTTTTAGCTTTAAGATAGTAAAATTATATATAACAAACAGTTATCAAGCAAGCATTACGATTACAATATCTAGTCTATATGTATTTGGCAAAATTAAAGACAATATTTTATCATTTATCCTATATTTGTGAGTCTAAAATTTCATATCTAACTTATCTTTTTTCATAACTATGGAAAATCATATTTATAACTAGCTAGTTTTTAACTACATTGAAGACCCCAGAGGGATATAATATTATCTAAGTAAACAGGAAGAGCATTGTAAGCAACTTCTAAAAAACTGGAATGACGAGACAGCTGGCTGCCTGGACAGTCACACAAAGTTCCTCTGCAACATTGGGGCATCCATCTTCAGCCTACAGTCCTAGAGTCTTTCAGTTGCTTCTCCCTGTGTCCTGTAGAATGTCTGGCAGTCTCCCCTGCAAAGCAGGAACCTGGAGGACCATTTCGCCTTGTTTTGGCAAAATTTAGTGGTCATTTTTCCATGGGTCCTGTATGTCCAGTTGATACAACATTTTGTCAAGCAGTCCAGGCAAGAACAATTTCTTGCCCAAATGGCTAACTTTTGCCATAAGGAAAGCAAACTCCATGGGAGTTTCTTTGATGCCCATCATCTTCTTTGAAGTAAATTGGTGCTCCCAAGAACAGACATGTCTCATTGTCCAGAAAGTCTAAGCTTTTAAAACATTTTAAATGCCATATTCTGTAGGTCTTTGAAGTGTTTGAAGATCACCTACCTAATTGAAATATATCTATGTATACCTAGAAAAAAAACTTAACTAGCATGACTATAAGTTTGATTATCATAGATGACTAATTATTAATCTGTATCCCTTAATTATATATTACAATTTCACATGAGCTGTACAAACATAATACTTTAAACAAGAATAGAAATATACATACAGTATAACAAAATTAACTTTAAATTTGTATCAATAAACTAAAATCCATAGCAATGTAAAACATTTTAAACAAGTTGTTACTCTTTAAAAGTAGATTCAATAATCTACCCTTTTATCCTATCATATCTATACTATCCCCTTTTCTTTTGTAGAAAAATATTGCATTTATAGTCACCCCCTTTAAATAAAAATAAACATTTATAAACAATATTTTAGGAATTTAGGTGTAGCTTTATATATAATTTCTTGCTGATTGGGGATATTGGTAATCTTATGGGGATCCAAGAAAAAAAAAAGTATAGTTAAATCTTGGCTGTAGTAGTCTGTAAGGATGGAATTGTCTCAGCCAGTTGCTTTGAAGCTGATTTTGGATGTTGGATCATCTGGGACATGGTGTCATTGGAGACCTTTCAGGGGGTCTTGGTTGATTAAACCATATTAGCCTGGAAGCAATCCATAGGTTCTCATCTTCTGTAGAAACAAAAGCAGAACCTCTTTTCCAAAGCAATGTATCCTTAGACACGAATTTTGAAGTCAAGATACCTTTAAAATATAGATATTGGTTTAACTTAGCAGCCTTTACAATCAAATGTCTTTCTACAGTTAAAAATCCCAAAGACAATATAATCCAGACTCTCTGTGTAATTTTCATCTTTATGTGGCTTATTTCCCATATTACTTTTATTGTCTCTTTAAAGACTTTATTTTTTAGAACTATCTGTTGCTTTATATAATTGTCTATCCTCCTTTTCCTCTCTCTTCCAAACCTATGTATATTTTTATACATATTGTAAACTGTTTAGAGGTTTATTTCTTCTGAATCTGTCTTTTGTGTATCTATAATCCTTTTTTGACCAGGAGAGATGTGAAATTGTTAAATTGAGTGGCTAGGATGAAAAGTGGTGGCGTTGGTTGCTGATTCCACCCCATTCAGTTTTTTTGTTTTTTTTTGTTTTTTTTTGTTTTTTTTTTTAACATGGCACCCATATTGAGTTGTGCTTATCTCCCTAATTTTGGGAAGAAATATTAAACAGTATGACTGTGTTTTGAAGTCTGTGGCTGTGCTCCCAAGCCCACAGGTGTTGGCTGGGAACAGCCTCTTTGTTCCACAGCCCAGCTCATCAGAGACTATGGGAGACTGTTATGTTGGCGTTGACGTCCACTGGCCATGTCTCTGTACCATGGTCCTGCATTAGACCTGAAATAGGAAGGTTTTTTTTTTTTTAGCTCAATTTTAGAATCTCTTTTTAAGTTCTCTCAGGTTTTAGGTGGAAACTCATGCCCCACACTGGGCACCAAATGTTGCTGGAAGGTTTCTTTGGTCCCACCTGGCCCCATGGTTCCATGTTCCTCCTGTCCTGCCCAGCCCTGTAGTCCCTCAGCCACTTATAAAATAATCATTCAGAGGCTTAATATTAATTACCAACTGTATGACCTTTGGCAGGCCTCTTGCTAGCTAGCTATTATAGTTTTAATTCAACCCATAACTATTCATCTATACATCACCACACGTTCTGTGGCTTTACCCACATCCCATTACATGATGCTCCTAGGATGGCAGGCTGCCTTCTCCCTCACTCCACCTTTCTGTTTCCCGTCTCTCTCCTTGGATTTCCTGCCTGCCTCTAAGCAACCTTGTCACAGGCCAAAGCAGCTTATTTATTAGCCAATGGGAACAACATATATTCACAGCATACAAAGAGCTATCCCCCAGCATACATAATTTAAAAATAAAAATTTTTAAAATATCTCCTTTAAAAAGAAGACAAGAACAATCTATACAGAGTCTGGCCAGGTCAGGCTACTTAGGAAGGCTCTGCTCAAAGGCTGTTGTAGTTTTTAACTGTGTAGCACATAGAATGCTTTTATAAGCTAAGAACTCACATTCAAGGCATGGGGTGGGGGGGCAGACTCAGGCAGGCACAACTAGTTTAGTCCAAAGAGGCTCAGAACCTAATGAGAATAACATCTGCCTCAGCATGATCACTGTCTGGACTCAGGCAGCTCCATGAAACCCCTGTTTGCAGAAGAAAAAATTCAGGATTTGGTATGTGGCATGAGGCCTCTGCTGGGGAGCAAGCAGCTCACAGCTGCCTGTGGCTGATGCAATCGGAGCAGAGAGAAATGATTCACTTTGACTCCACCATCCACCCCGGGACTTTGGCCAACTACAGGTTTGGGGTTCATTGGAGGATGATTTTTTTTTTCTCCTTTCTTGAATTGAAAGAGTAACTTTGTGTTTCCAAAAGGCGATGTCATTGTGTGGAGTGATCCCGCAGTGAGGTTGTGTTGGATGGGTTTGGGAGGAACCACTTCTGCTGTGCTTATTAAGTCTGGGGGAGAATGAAATTGAGGGTCTCCGCTTCCTGCCACCCCTTTCCTTCTACCCAGCAAGGACAGAGCTGAAAGATGTCTTTGAGAAGTAATGGAGACAAGGGGAGGTGACGCGGAGGGACCAGGACGCTGCCCAGGAGGCTGCCAGAGAAGTGGCTTCTTGTTTGTTAGCAAGAGTTTGTGGTGAGGAGGTCTGCGAAGCTCTCTCCCACAGCACCCAGGACTAAACAGAACAAATAAAACCTCTGTTTGTTCATCCCTACCCTGGGTTTAGATGGTGTTTTACAGCCAGGGTTATTGGGATCAGCTGAAACCCAGGCGGACTGTTTATTTCTAGGATGGCTAAGCCAGACAAATGCTTCTCTGTCCTTCTACTTTCCAGGCCAGGAAAGCAGGAGACACATTCAATCAAGAAAGAAGCAATGAAGAGTATATATTAAAAAAAAATTTTCAGGAGTGCCTACTGTGTTTCCAATGCTGAAAGACATACATAAATTTTTCAAAAGTGTAAACTTGGGCTCAGGTTCTCAAGACACATAAAATCTACTTGTCAGGAGGATGCTTAATAGGCAAAACTCAAGAGAAACTTTACAGACAGCTAGCTATTTGGAGGACTAAGACAATCTTACGAATGAGGAAGGAAGGAGAGGATGGAGATCATGGGTAGGTTCTGGCGCTCTCTGAGGAGGCTTCATAAAGAAGGTTTGGAAGGCCATAATCAATATGATGTCTGTGTTGTTCTCACTGGCGCCCAACACTGACTTAGTATAATGCCTGTCACAGAGTGGGCATTGAGGAAGTATTTGAGGCATGAATGAAGAAGGAGGCATAAATAGGTGAAGAAGGGGGAGGAGGCCATTCCAACCTGAGGAAAGGCCCAGAGAAATGAGCTGATGTCTCGTCGAGACTGGTTTAACCACAATGGAGGGTGTGTAGTGAGGAGTCGTGGGAAATGAGGTTAGAGATTGAGCCAGATCGGCAAAGGTTGGGAAGCCAGGCCAAGAAATTTAGTGGAGATAAACATTCTTTTTTTATTTTTATTTTTATTTTTATTTATTTATTGTGTGTGTGTGTGTGTGTGTGTGTGTGTGTGTGTGTGTGTTGGGTCTTGAACCCAAGGTCTTACAGGACTTCCACACACTATCTCCCCACTGGGTGTTCAGGGTCCCCAGCACTCAGTAGGTCTTTGTGACACACAGATTATATGCTAACAACTTGGGGAAAGGGACAGTAGAAGGACAGGTATTACTTTAAAGGACCTCACCTTCTACTGGGGAGAGGTGAAATAAGGTGCCCTTTGTTGTAGTTGCTGTGATAATCATGATGTGGGTGAAAGAGCTGAATATTTTAGTAACTGAGGCTGCAAAAGCCAAGGCCTTGTCAAACTTGCTCAAGTGAATTGGGAGTTTTCCTGAGAGGAAGCCAAGACATCCAGTGTAGGAAGTGGGATTCAAGGAGGATGCAAGGGGGTTCAACATGGCAAATATCAACATCACCTTTCTTCCCCTCTCCCAGCAGTGCCTCATGGCTAATCTCTTACCTCTGCTTTCTTTCTCTTTATAGGCTTCCTTCTCTGAGTAGGATTTCATCTGAATAGGATTGACATCTGAAGGCCGTAACATCCCCACACTAGGGCCAACTGTCCTCATTTACTCTCTGGAGCCCAGAGTTTTAAGAATGAAGACTCTGCCTGGTGTGGTGGTACATGTCTATACTCTTAGCACTCAAGAGGATGAGGCAGGAGGATTTCTGAGGTCAAGAGCAGCATAGGCTGCATAGCCAGTACCAGGTCAGACATGACTACCTCTTCAGACTCTATATTAAGAGACTGGAGCGATGGCTCAGCAGGGAAGAGCCCTGGCTGTTCTTCCAGAAGGACGCAGGTTCAGTTCCCAGTACCCACATGGCAGCTCACAACTGTCTGTAACTCTAGTTCCAGAGGAGCAATATTTTCTTCTGGTCACCTCAGGCACTTTGCTCACATACACATAAAAAATATTTTTAAAAAATTTCTTTTTAGCCTTATGATTTGCTACTGAGTCCATATTTTTGTGACCTCCACACAGATCCCTACATTAACTCTAAAGGCAAGGTCCAAGCGTTAATGACCATTAGCACCTTGGGCTTTTTTAAGTCACCGGTGCTGTAGGCAAAAGTGGGTGAGCTGTGTAAGAGGTCTGGCTGTCCTGGAACTCGCTCTGTAGACCAGTCTGGCCTTGAACTCAGAGATCCACTTGCCTCTGCCTCCCAAGTGCTGGGATTAAAGTTGTGTGCCACTACTGTCCAGTTTAAAAAATATTTTTTAGCTGAGCATGGTGGCACATGCCTTTAATCCCAGCATTTGGGAGACAGAGGCAGGTGGGTCTCTATAAATTGAGGCCAGCCTGGTCTACATAGAGAATTCAAGGTTAGCCAAGGCTATATAGTGAAGAATAAATATTAATCATTTTTTAAAAACCCTATTTCAAAATAACAAAAGGGGACTGGGAAATGGTTTGGCCAGTAAAGTACTTGCCATTCAAGTATGAGATCCAGAATTTGGATGCCCAGTAGCCATGTAAAAAGCCAGATGTGATGGTGTGTGCCTAATCCTGGAGGAGCAGGGACGGGGTTCTCGGGAGCACGCTGGCCAGCCTATCTACCTGAATGGGTGAGCCTCAGGTTCAGTGAGAGAGGCGTCTCAAAAATAAAGTAGAGAATGACTGAGAAAGACACTGTGCATTGCCCTCCGGCATCCACACGCACGTGCACACATGTGCTCGGATGTGCACACACACAAAACTTGAAGAAAATAAAAGCAGCCGATTGACTTCATTCAGCCTATGGATGGATACTCCTGGATCCTCACCATCAGCTGTACTTAGGAGACAAGTTAGGAGGGAAAACATTGCCACCCAAGCCTACCAAGAGCTGTGGGCCAGAGTGGGATGGGGCTCAGTGGGCAGGGTGCTTGTCAAGTGTGTGAGAAGTCCTGCGTTTGTCCCCAGCACCACAAGCGAACAAGGACAACTTGATCTCCTCCAGTTGAGCAATGCAGAGAGCAGGTCTCTTCTCTTGGGCGTGGTGGAGGCACACGGCTTCTTTGCGCCAGACTTGGGGGACAGAAGGATGGAACATTTCAGAAGCCATCCAAGTAGCGTTCTAGAGCTCTTAGGCTGGCTTCGTTCCGCAGGAGGAGTTGGAGAAGTTTTAGAAGCTGACAGGACCCCAGACCATGAAGAAAGCTTCTGCCTAGCCCAGAGCAGAACAATTTAGAGGTAAAGATTGATTTTAATTTATTAGATAGTATTTTTAAAAAATTAAGTCCAAATCTGCTTCTCATTTATTGCCATGTCCCAGGCCACATAGGCAGGCTCTGAGTAAAAACTCACAACATGTTTTTTCAATTGAATCCAACTCCCTTAAACACAGACAATCAACAAACAAACTGCTCTTTGTGTTCTGTTAGGGACAGCGTCTGGACCACGAACACAAACCAAACATCAGAACATGCTTTTTCTGATTCCTGATCCAGGACTTGGGTCACTGGACACAGACTTGGGGACAGGTAAAAACAGCCGCAGAGTCAGAGCCAAGGTGCCCGGCAGAGGGCTAGATAAACAGATAGCGCTGTGGGTGCCCAGTGGCTCCCAGGGCAGATCAAAGGTAGCTTTCCCCAGTGCAGGCAGCAAGCATGGCAGGAATCTGGGGACCTCTCCCCCAGTCCCCCACCCACGCTCACAGATGGAGAGCCGTGCCATGAGCGGCCACACCTTTGAATACTACTAGCATGCAGGCGTTCATACAATTCCTTTCTGGTCTTTCCTATACAGCTCCCTTAGATAGCCATCATATGACTGTGTGTGACTACTGGCTGGATTGCTTGGGTTCACAGCCCAGGTCTGCTACTTGGGTAAACATTTGCATGGCTTAACTACTTAGTTTCTGCATTAATGAAACAGCACCAAATTAATAAGCCCCCTTAAAGGAAGGGGGAAGAGTGAGAGGGTTATTTATGCATATGACTAGTGTGTAATATGCCATGTATACACTGAGTAAGCAATCCCATTCACTGCAGTTGGTTTCCCAAAACAAGATGGCAGACATGAATTCCGCATCTTCCAGAGTCCTGCAGGACATTAAATCCACAGAAAGCTATTGAGGGCTATGGTTTGGGCCTACACTTATTTCTTTTTTTGTTTTAGAACAGACCCCTGATTGGTCCAGAAACAGGAAAGAAAGTAAGCCAAGCCAATCAGAATTCTTCCCTCGTATTCTTTTCCTTTTAGTGGGAGAGAATCTTGCTCTTCTCCCTGCTCCCTGCCTTTGGGTTTGAAGTCGTGAGGATTCAAGTTCAAAGCGCCTTTGTTCATCTCTTACTCCACAGGAGAAGCTGCCTGGAGAGGATGGAGCGGATCTACAGATCTGCCCCGCAATTTGACTACAGACGACATCAAATTAACCCCTGTCTCCTTGAACTTCAGATTATGTTACTGGCAACTAGACTTTGTACTCAAGCATCAACTCAGAGAGGCAACATCTGAGTTTCCTTTTGGTTTATATTAAATTACTTCCAGTTTTATGGCAGATGAGGTCAATACATTTATGCTGTTTTTGCTTAAAAAAAAAAAAAAGATTAGCTGGGCATAGTGGCACACACCTTTAACCTCAGCACTCAGGAGGCAAAGGCAGGCAGAACTCTGAGTTCAAGGCCAGCCTGGTCTACAGAGTGAGTTCCAGGACAGCCAGGGCTATGCAGAGAAACTTTGTCTGGAAAAACAAAAACAAAAACAAACAAACAAAAAAGCCCAACAACAACAAAACATATATTTATTTCAAGCATATGGTGTTTTGTCTGCATTTCACCATATGCATGCCTGGTGCCTGAAGAGGCTAGAATAGGGTGTTGGAATACCTGGAACTGGAGTTATAAACAGGTGTGACCTACCATGTAGATTCTAGAATCCGAACCTGGGTCCTTTGCTGGAATAGTAAGTAAGATCTCTTAGCCACAGAGCCATCTCTCCAGTCCCCTTGTTTTGCAGAAAAAGGAGGAAGAGGGAGAAGAGAGAGAGAGAGAGAGAGAGAGAGAGAGAGAGAGAGAGAGAGAGAGATATTCTGGACATTTGGAGCTAGCCATGGTAGTTCACTGTAATCCCTGTGCTTGGGAAGCTGAGGCAGAAGGATTGCTATAAATTCCAGGCCAGCCTGAGCTACACTGTGAGACCCTGTCTTTCCTTCACTGACTCTCCTGCAAAAAGAATAGAAATTTGGAGCATTTGGAATGTTTAATGCAAAATCTCCCAAGTCTTGAATATGGGTTGTAATTCTGATATTTCCAAACGATTGAAGGGTCCAGGCATTGGTTACATAGGCTGTAATCCCAACAGTGGGGAGGCCAAAACCAGAGAACTGTGAGTAGTTCATGTGTGGTGTGAAGGGCAAGATCCTGTCTACAAACAAAGAAACAAACAAACCATAACAATAGAACAACACACACACTCACTCACACACTCTCACACCAAAACCAGGAAACTGGGCATGGTGGTAAACGCCTATAATCCCAGCTCCTCAGGGGGCCAGAGTGAGAGGATCATTAGTCTGCAGTTGTCTAGACTACTAGACTAGATCCCTTATCAAACAAAAACAGAGCAAAAACCAAATCTAAAACCACTGTGTGAGAGGTAACTGACTGTCCCCCTATATCAGGACTAAGGATTTGATGAGCTCCAGAACTTTCCTATGCAAAACAAGATGAATTGCCCCTGTGTGTAGACCACACAGACTTCATAGGAGACGAACACTCTAAGACATGATCTCATTTTACCCCATCAAGGTTGTACCTGCTCTCTGGGTCTCCATCTCCACATTCTAAGGAGGCAGGTACCATTGCTATTCCTACTTTGGAGACCCAATAAGTCCCTATAACACACATAGAACAGAGAACCCACTCATGCCAGGGCCCAGATCAGAATGCTCTCATTTCCCCTGGTGTGACAGGCCCTGGGTCATCAGCAAGAGTCAGGCCTCTCCCAGCTGCATGCAGCCATTTACCATGGTCATAACATCGACTGGAGATGGAGGGGCTCTCTTCCCAGCCAAGAGGTTAAGGATTTATTTCCCTTTCCCCCTCCTCTTTCAGCTGAAGGAAATATTACTTTCATCATTACATCCCACAAAATGCATTTGGACATGGTCCAGTTTTCAGAGTGTAAAAACTGAAGGTGCAGAGTCGGGAGGTGACCTTCTTTGGGCACAGCATGTTGGTGGTACTCTAACCTCCAGCATCCTGTTGGACAGCGGAGCATCGTTCTTTCACAAGGGAGTATGAAAGGGACCAACACTTCCTACCTGACTCCTGGGTCTCAGACTCCATGTGGTCCACTCATCTAATTCTCCCAAGTACGGCCCCCACCCCAGTCCCTGAGGGAAAGGATTGGAGTTCTAGGCTCTTGTCCTTTCCAGGCCACCACCCTGACCATCCAGGCATGCCAGGAGGGTGTCTGGAACTGCCAGGCTGTTACTGCACATGCTGAGTGAATTAATAAGGGTCGCTGATGGCATCCTCTGCACACAGCTGGCCAGGTGTCAGTGGCTCTGTGGGTGGCTTGCAGGGAGACAGGCCCACCCTGAGTCAAGAAATCTTCTGATGAGATGACGCATGTTAAGTAGTTGTAAAGTTTTAAGAGCTCATGTCGCACCGGCTGTAAACATGAGGAATCATTCCCCTTGGGGAAGCTGGTAGGAGGGCACAGAAGGGGCCACCCCAAAGGGGCCCCCTCTAGACTTTCCTCCCAGCACAAGTCAGAATTCTTGGAAGGGAGCCAAAATCAGAAAGGAAAGTTTTTATTTCATGAATTCCTTTAGCTCTGACTTTATAGGCCTCCTTGAACTTGAACATCCTGGCAAGAAGTCAGCATCATGTTGCCGTTCCCAGGGGGATCTGAGTTTGAGTCCCATGTCTGCCACTCATCTACCCAGTGAGGTAGAAAAGACAGCCACTGAAGCTCTCCCTTCAAATTCTTTCCTTTCCAGGAAGGAGGCTAACAAGCAGGTCCCGGGACCATTGTCAAGACAGAAAATGGGTAAGTAAAATGAAGGTGGCCCTCTGTCTGGTGCTCCAGCAATTCCACGTTCGTGTGTTCAAACAAACCAGATGTGACTCTATTTCGAAGAAGGTCCTTCTTGGCTGCATAAAACACAAACATCGGAAGTGTCCTTTCTCAGAGCCCGTGTATGCCCTGAGTGTGTGGTCTTCCTTCCTCAGGCTCCCAAGGACCTGGGGTTTTGCGGAGCTGTATTGCAGTAAGTGAATATGTCACAGTTTGTCCACTATCAATTTAAAGAACATCATCCGCCTGGTTTGGTAGCTCATGTCTAGACTCCCATCACTTGGGAGGCTGAAGGAGAAGGATTGCAATGAATTTGAGGCCAGCCTGGGCTACAGAGTGAGATTCTATTATCTCAAAACAAAAGCCAAATTTGGGCTGGGGATGTAGCTCTGTAGGCAGAGTGCTCTCCTAGCCTGTCTGAAGGCCTGAGTCCCATCCCCAGCCCAACACAAAGCCAGGTGTGGTGTACACCTGGATCCTAGCACTTGAAAAGAAAAGGCAGACAGTCATCCTTGGCTATAGGTTAAGGGTGAGGTTAGCCTGGGATACACAAAACCCTCTAAAAAGAAAGAGAGAGGGGCTGGAGAGGTGGCTCAGCAGTTCAGAGCACTTGATCTTTCAGAGAGGACCTGGGTGTGGTTTCCAGTGTTCACTGTGGTGGCTAAGACCACCCTTAACTCCAGTTCCAGGGGGTTTGACACTTTCTTCTGAGCTCCATGGGCACCAAGCACATGAGTAATGTGGTGTGTGTGCGTGTGCGTGTGCGTGCGTGCGTGCGTGCGTGCGTGCGTCTGTGCGCGCACATGCGCGTGTGTGTTTTATTGTTTTGTTGAGACCAGGCCAGCCTTTCAAGTGCTGGGATTACAGATACGCGTAACCCTCTCCTTTGCTTTTCTATTACTGCGATAAAGCACCGACCCGAAGCAGCTTGGGTGGGAAGGGCTTGTTTCCCTTCCTGTTCACAGCCCGCCGGTCAGGGCGGGAAGTCAGGCAGGACTCGCGACTGCAGGCGGGAACTGATGCGGAGGCCATGGAGGACACTGCTTCCTAGCTTGTCCCCATGGCTGGCTTTCGTTTTGGTTTTTAGACAGGGTTTCACTGTGCAGCCCTGACTGGCCTGGAAATCACTACAGAGACCAGGCTGACCTCAAACTCACAGAGACCCACCCGCCTCTGCCTCCCTAAGTACTGAATTAAAGGTTTGCCTAGTGAGTTCCAGGCTAGTCAAGGCTACAAAGTGAGACCCTATCTCAAACAAACACAAAGACAAAGAAAAAGGGGGAAAATATTTGTATAACGGAAATCTTTATAGATTCCTTTTCACTGGGGTGTTAGTAATATTGTGCTCTTACACCAGCATTTTAATCTTTACAAAACAGTCCAAAGCTTTGATTTTAAAAGAAATGTGGTGGGGGCTGGGGTGTGGCTTAGTGGTTAAGAGAGCTTGCTCCTCTTGTAGACTGGAGCCTGCTTCTCAGCATCTACACTGGGCAGCTCACAACCACCTGTGCCTCCAGGTTCATGGGCTCTGCCAGGCTCCACAGGTACCCATGCATACGGTCCTGTACAGGACAGGCATAAGACATAATGTAAAATAAAAAGTAAGTTCAAAAGAAAATAATTTCAGTAGGTACACATGTGTGTGTTTATTTACACACACACATACACACCACACACACACACATACACACACACACACACACACACACACGCACACGAACACACACACACAGAAACTGGAAATATACATAAGAGTGGAAACTGGCCCGGCGGTGACACACCTTTAATCCCAGCACTCAGGAGACAGAGGCAGGCGGATCTCTGTGAGTTCCAGGCCAACCTGGTCTACAGAGAAAGACTGGAGTTGGAGTAGGAATTGGGTAGAGAAAAACTTGGTAGGAACTATTTTCCAGTTAGTGTATGTGTATATTGTATGTCACTTTTGACTCATGTGACTGTATTATGTAAAGAACATTGTATTATCAAAAAACCAGCTTTAAAATGAGGGGGGATGTTTCATCCCCAGGTGTGACTCCGGGCTGGTGGCATCTGTGAGGGGGTGGCACTCTCAGGCAGCCACATCACATGAGCATCTGCTGACTCGCTCCTGGCTCCACCCACTTTAGCTAATAAACGGAAAGCAAGTCTGGGCTGGGGGAGAAGGCCAAGAGTAGCTGGTGGCCTGGTTCTGGAGGGAGCAGGAGCGAGGATGCGCTTTTCCCCCTAAGTGTTTCTCAGTGGTGGAAATTCCTTTTAGCCTGTCACCGTACCGTTGGAAAGACCTCACCTGCAGGCCTTCTCCAAGGAGTTAAGATGGACCTCAATTACACTTTAGGGCAAGTGTCTGGTAGTCTTCCACATGCCAGGCAAATGTCCTGCTGATGAACTACACTCCTAGCCCCAGACGAAGACTCAGAGACTGTCTCAGAAACATAATTTGAGAGAGATCAAGAAGACCAGATAAGGACCC